CAGACATGCACACACAAGCACACAGACAGCCTCTTCCCAATATACGTTTTTGCAATTTGCATATATGCAAAAACACATAAAAATCAGTAGGTTTTAGCAATGCTAACCAGTCGATGCTGACGAATCTGACGTAACGGCAAGTAGCGCTGTTCTAGTGCCTGAGGTCAGGAGTTTAACTACGCCGCTGCAACAAGCAATCCCTCTAGGGACCACTTATTAATTCCAGCAGTTTGTAGATGCCATACTAGCAAATGTCAGGAGTCAAACCTTCCACCAGCTTGCTTCAAGCAACTCTAAAAAAAGGTACCAGCACGACAGCCTTGCCAGCGAGTGCTCGCCGCTGGAATGTGCTACTGCTAGAGCTATTTTCGAATGCATCCGTCACTGAATATGGGCTTTTGGTTTTTAGCAGGTAAATAAGTTTAGTCTTTTGGTTAATAACTAGTAGCTTCAACGGCGTGTTGACAAAAGAATGAGAAAGCGATCATGGAAAATGTCTGTTATAAGGCAAAAAGCCAAGGTAGTCTGTCTGCTCAGATTTCTAGAAATCGAACTGAACTTACAAGAAGGATGCATGGACTGCACAAGGACCACGTCCAACGGATATAGTCGCCTGTCGGACCAAAGAAAAATTTGAGTTTACTCCACGCGGTTACCTGCTTGACACTCAGATTTTGGGATTGCAATACCTCCTGGAGACTTGTGGGAACACGAAGCATTTCTCCAACATCGTCAATAAAATTATTCACTCCTGAATGTGCATTAATACGTTTCATGTACCAGTGGCCCATCCAAAGGAAAAAGATCAGTTGTCCGATTCGTCTGTGGTAGAAATATGGGAATTTAATGTAGGCAGAGAAGTGCTACATTCATCTGCAAAGCACAAGCGCGAAATTGCTTTTCGTTATGAATGCCTTTGACCTGCCCGAACGTGTGAAACAGGCTTGCGGGCTGCCCGCACGAAGATGCGTTTTTTGCATAGTTCCCCGCGGTTTTTGTTACTACCGGCACCGGCTTTTTCAGCAAATGCTTCTAGCTAAACAAATTAAGACTGGCCGCCAGAATTGTTAGGAAACACCCCCTTAAAATTTCAGGTTTCTAGCTTCCCTGGCTCCTGAGTTAGCAACCTACTGGAGAAAAATTTTTACGGTCCCGTGCGTGTTTGCCATGCATACCCGAGAGTTGGGTTTGAGCTGAATGAAACTTAGGTGGACGGGATATATCCTCTTAAGATTATAGTCCCTCAGCTTCTCAAATCCCCGAGTTATGAACTTACCCAGGAAAAATTTTGGCGGGCCCGTACGCGGGTACCACACTTGCCCGGGGCTGGGTTTGAGCTCACTAATATCCACATGGACGGGGAACACCACCCTAAAATTTCAGCTTTCTAGCATCTCAGATTCCGAGTTATGAACTTACCCGAGAAGAATTTTGTCGGGACCGTACGCGGGCACCACACTTATTCGGGGGCTGGGTTTGAGCTCACTAATACCTACTTGGACGGGGAACATCTCCACAAAATTTCAGCTTTCCAGCATCTCAGATCCTCGAGTTATGAACTCACCCGTGAAA